ATACCCCACATTAGAATCATATCATGCAGCCTCAAGTTCTTCTGAAACTCTTCTAATATCCAGGAATGAAATGGGGACCGTCATCAATTTATACCTTGGGATTTTTGAATGGATATTTGTTTTAGTCTTTTTTCCTGAAGCTTCCTAGTACCTCACAATACTCGGCACATAGTAGGTTCTAAATAATATGTGCAGAATCAATAAATAAAGCAATATTTACTATTAATGAAAGACCAGAGAATCTTGATATTGCTTGACCACGTAAGCGTAAAGATGAACATAGCTTGGAGGAGAAAGAATCTCTAGCATGGTGGGCCGTTCTTCAAAGACAACTGAGGGGGCTGCCTAACAATGCCAGCTAATGCCAGAGGATAATCATTACTAGCGTGGGTGTTATCTCAATGAAGAATGATAACCAAACAGTTAGGTCAAACAAAATGCATAAAAAATATGGATAATTAGAGGAGCATACCCTCTCTTGGTGAGAGAACAGAAGAAGGAAGCTGTAAGCTTCCAGAGAGCAGGGCCCTTGTCTTCTATTTCTTTTCTTTTTGAGGAAGATTAGCCCTGAGCTAACATCTGCCACCAATCCTCCTCTTTTTGCTGAGGAAGACTGGCCCTGAGCTAACATCCGTGCCCATCTTCCTCTACTTCATATGTGGAATGCCTGCCACAGCATGGCTTAACAAGTGGTGCTAGGTCTGCACCCAAGATCCGAACCAGTGAACCCTGGGCTGCTGAAGAAGAATGTGCGAACTCAACCACTGTGCCACTGGGCCGATGCCTTGTCCTCTATTCTTTTTGTCTCCAGCATTAGCCAAGGACCAAGGACCTGGTGAAGCCTAGTAAGCTTCAACAAATGTTTGTGAATGAATAAACAAATTAATCACTGCCTACTTGATACAGAACTGAACTGCAGAAGCTGTTTAAAGAAGAAGGCAAGATTCCATAGCCTGCTTAGAAGCTAGAATAACTATCAGGACTATGATTAACTAGCCAAAGGGTCAAGGACTTCTTAGGCCAAGGGGAACAAGGTGTTTATCAGAGTCTAAACTCCTGGAATTCTTAAAGAAAGGATAACTGCCTTTGACCAGCCGGTGAGTAAGCCAGGGATCTCTTCCTCCAGGAAGAATCAATGATTAGCTTTCAGAGAAGCATGGGCAAATTCTAACCCTAGGAACAGCAGGTAAATCCTCAAACTCTTATTCGCTTTCACCAGAGTCCAGTGCTTAGAATGCAATAAGGGAGTAAATGTGGGCAAGGCTAAAACCAATTTTGAGAAATAAAAACAATCTTTATATTCTAATGGTTTTAAAAATTACTTTTAAGACTTCTACACTATATTACTTAATTTGGTTAATTTGTTACAGGATTATGATTTTACAAATATGTCATGGCTAATGTTCTGCCATTCAAGTGACATTCAGTATGCATATAAAATACAAATTCCTTAGCTTGGTATAAAAGCACTGTGCTGCATGCTAGCAAATTAACAGCTTTTCCAGAATATGTCAAATCCACTTCATATGCAATGTATGCTTCAATTGTACAAAATTTCTCTTTCAGGTCTTGGTGAACTTGCAAATACCGTTTCCTGTGCCTGTGAATTTGATCCAACTCAGAAAATTCCTATTCATTTGTCAAGATCCAATTCCAGTGTTTCTCTTTCATCACCAAGTCTCTGAGAAGAGTTAATTATTTTCTCTGCTATGTATCTGAACATATCTCTATTTTTAAGAATCATATATTCATTTGTTTTATAAGCATTTACTTACTTCTCAACCTTGTGCACTAGGCTGTCAGCTACAAAATGCAAGATACAAGTTTTCACTTTATCTATCTCACCTTAGTTCAATAAGTAATCATTGGCTGCACAAAAGCCCCCATACATACGTATTTACGGAGTTATTACCAAATAATGTATCAGATATCATTGCTTCAAATAATTAACATTTAATAAAGCAACTTGCAAATAAATTGTTAAAGATCACGCTATGAACTTGGCCCCCAAATGGTTTTGGCTACTTTTAGCTATGATGGACATTTGATTTGGCATGTGGGGACCTAGAAAGAATAAAATCCATTATGCCTGTAATTACGTCTGTGTAGTCTGCCATAAGAAATTATTTTTCTAGTCTAAAAGCTTATGCTGAAAAAGCTATGTTTTTGGTGATTTCGTTAACATTTAAAAATGTTAACAATTCTGTCAGCCCAAACCGAAAATGACTGTGTGAGAAATGAAAGCTTGCAAAACTCTGACACTCGCTATTCATGGCTCATTATCCTCATGACTTTCATTTTGCAGTGAGGAAGTGGGGTCAGCTTCACAAAATTTAGAAACGATTAAGAAAATTACTGTATGCAGATGTGACTTATGGACTGAGAATAACGCACTTTCTAAAAGACTGTATTCAACAAAATAAATAAGGATGATGAGAAATCCACAGATGTTTTATGGCTTATGGCAGTTTTTCAGTTATTCATTATAAAGACTCCTTCCAGGGATTTGCCCACTTCCCTTGACCCTTTCCTGAACACTTTGAAACTTTCTCTTTTACTGTATTCCTCAGGGAGTTTATGAAGTCCTAGGCATATTTCCTGAAGTTCTTTGAGTTCATTCTCAAACACATCCACTGACCCTTATACATTGTGAATTGGTGCCCGGGTCCAAACCTCACATTTTTCTTTTATAACTTTCAGAGTTTTTGGAATAAACATGTGGAAATAGTCACAAGGGCAAAGGTTATCCACTAACCTAACATTCTATCAAAAAAAAAAAAAAAAAGAAAAGAAAAAAAGGAAAAGAAGAAAACCAGATGGTATCTAGGTAAGAAGAAAACCCCTATGTTTTTAATTTAGATAAAATTTAATTTATCTGTCAGCCACTCATTTTTCTTCTGTAGCAACAGATGGTGTAGGATGTAAATATAATATAAAATTTCCTTTCCTTCTTTCTGTGTCAATTTAAATAAATGTCTATTAAGTGGCTGTTATATGCTAGGCATTAAACTAGGCTAGATAACAGTGTCTCCATTTAATAGAATTTATATTTTAGCTTAGAAGTCAGACACATAGACAAATAAAGATGATGGAATGGGCTAAGTACTATCATATAATTTTATGTACAAAGTGCCATGGGATACTTGTTGATGGATGCACATAACTTTAATATAAACTAAATTTTGAGGAGACAAAGACCAGTTTGATTTTGATAAAATGAACCCTTAAGGTATATACAAGCCAACTCAACAAATATTTCTCCCTGTAGCTTCTAAACATGTTTAAGATCCAAACAGAATCGTTTTTCTTGTGCTCTCCATTGTGCATGAGACAGAAAGATGCTAAATAATTTAATGTCGTTTTCAAAAGTGGTTTTCCTGTCTGATGTTTATGATTGTCCTTCCAAAATAATGAATATAAATAAAGGCTTTGCTTATATTTTTGTGATGAAAGAGAATGTTTCTTCTCCCAGATAAAATCCTGAGCCTCAATTATGTGTTAGTTCAAAGACTGTAGATTGAATCTGGATAGCGGTTGTAAAATAAAATATGCATAGACTTTAATCTTGAGGAAATTCAAATACAAAATGTGAGAAATGGAAAGTTCAAATGATGATAGGACATCCAATTTTTTCATTAATAGTTTCCTAATAAATGAATTTTGAATTATTTTATTTTATTAACAACATTCTTTAGGGAATGTGTAGGCTGTGCTTCTAATTGGCCAAATGTATGGCATTCGGCATGCTGTCTTCCACACAGTAGATGCTCGATCTGTGTGTGTAAAATTGGATGTAAAATGCTTAGGACCTTCTGAGCATTCATCAATATTCATGTCTTTCTAAAAGGCAAGACATGATGAGGTTGTCTTGTCAGATGTCTCTGCTCCAAAAGGACTACCTAAAAATGGGACAGGCCTTTAGCCAAGCCTTCACCTCTGAAACAACAATAATTCTCTGATTTGGCCACTCTGACTGTAGGTGGCCCTTTTCAGAAAAAAATCTAGCCCCCTCCCTATAAAGTATATAAAATAAATACATAAAATATCTTTTAAGGATATTTCCAGAGATTGTGAAAACCATTTTTACATGGTGGGCTATTTTTTCATTTAAATGAGCTTTTTCCATTCTAGCTTCTGAACCAGACTGGGGAACTGGAGAGAAAGGTACCTAATTAAAAAAAGAAAAAATATATATAATATATATATATATATTATATATATATAATACTCTTGTGGAACTCTTAGTTCTATCTGTCTATCTACCTATCTTCACAACAACTCCATGGATAGTAGGATCTACTGTTGCATCTATTTTGCATAAATGGATATAGGAAATAGGAAACTAAGGCTCAGAGAAGTTAGGTAACTTGACCAAGTCACACAAGTAGTAAGTGACAGAGATAAAATTCAAGCTCAGAAAGCCTGGCTCCAGGTCTATGCCTTTGACCACCACTCTACACTGCCTTAGGCATTAAGGCCTGGGAGGAGAAAGAAAAGTCTATTTCCTGCTTGACTAAATTTTTTCTCTGTGTGGATTTAGAGAGATTTGTCCAAGTCTGTTGATATGGGAAAGAGTGGGCAGGGATAGAAACTTCTATTGTGTATCTACTATGCGCTGAATACAGTGTTACGTACTTTTCATATATAATTTCATGGTATCTTTATTATAATATATTAAGATATTCAATATTATCCTAGTTTACTAATTAGAACACTGAAGCTCAGAAGTTTTAAGTAACTTGCTAAGAACACACAGCTAGGACAGGACTAAGCCAGGGTTTAAAAGCAGGATTATACACTTGTGCTTACAAGTGTATAGATCAAATTCCAAATGACAGGTCAAGAAATACTAGCCTTGTGTAACCAGAAAACCTTTCAGAAATATTATTAGCGTTTAAAGCTACTCAGAGTCAACATTTCTGCAAAGGGGATAGAGAGGGAAATTTTACATCTTGTCACAACCCTATCAATGGTGATGCAACCCAGGCTTTACATCCTACCTTGATAAATATTGTCCTGAAGTGAGATTTGCAGCTTCCACATCCATGCAGTTCATTGTGCTGGGAATGAGAGCAAGTTCTGGCTGGATCATGGTGGCTGTAGCTACAGCTCTTGCGACCAGTTCCATGGCATCTTGTACATAGTATTCAAAGACAGACTGTGTTGTTTTTCCATGAGCAATGAGCCCTAAGGGCAGACCTTCTGTCCTTAGTTCCTCAACATTCTGGGAATCCCCCAGCACCCAGGGAAGCTCAGGGGGCGTTAGCCCAAACTGGGTGGTAATTTCGAAAATCCGCCGGATACTTTCCATGTCGCAGCCAAACATCACAACTGTGGGGGTACTGTTCTTAATGCTCTCAAGCTGGACCTGCAGGAAGCTCAAGAGGTCCTCAGTGGAGGAGAGGTCGGTGGTGATGTTGATGATAGACCCGAGGTGGAACTTGGAATTATTCTGGGTAAGGAGGAGAAAGTCAGTGATGTTCCAGTCTTCCTGGCACAGCAACAAGCTAAAATTGTACCAGTTGTTCATGGTCAGGATTGAGACAGTGACATCAGCATCAGAACTTAATGAATTTTCTAAACTCAGTTGTAGGTGAAGGGGATTCTGTATTTAAAGATATGAAAAAGAAGAATTAGAAAGCATTGGCCAAAGATTATAACATAGGGTACTTTTGCTTTCTTATGAGGCTTAATCCTTTATTTTTCCCTGTGATATTCAAATGCTTCTGGGATAAAACTCTCATAATTTGGAAAGCCATGTTTCCTGTCTAATAGAATTATTGATTCCTTACAACTGATTTCCCTATAATTTTTGCTAAGAGTACCAGAGGACAGATGGTTCTTGATGTAAATCTAGGCGTGACATAACCATACATTTGGTCTTAAATTTTTATCGGGTTAAGATTTTATCAGGATACTTCCTTACAGACAGTCCCCTTTATACATCCCACTTATAACTATCACTGTTATTAACTCCTTTATTAAATTTTCTCCTCAGGTAAAATAATTGAAAGAAATTATTTTTGCTTTCCTTTAAAACTAATAGCAGAGAAATCTTAAAACAGTGCAGGTACTTGTATAAGGCTGGTGTGGAAAGTGCATGCATAATAGTTTCCTAAACTTCCAGCCCCTGAGGAAGGCATTTCATCTAATATTTGTGGTGCTATGGTCTGAATGTTTGTGTTCCCCCAAAATTCATATGTTGAAATCCTAATGCTCACCGTGATGGCACGAGGAGGTGGGGTCTTTGGGAAGTGATTAGGTGCTGAGGGCAGAACCCTCATGAATGAGATTAATGGCTGAGAGGCTTGATAGAGCTTCCTTGCCCCTTCTTCCACGTGAGGACACAGTGAGAAGATGGCAGTCTGCGAGCTGGAAGAGGGCCCGCCCCAACCATGCTGGCACCCAGCCTTGGACTTCTAGCCTCCAGAACTGTGAGAAACAAATTTCTGTTGTTTACAAGCTACCCAGTCTGTGCTGTAGCAGCTTGAACAGACCAGGATACATGGAATAATTAACAATATATACATTAAAATTAAGTGTTGAGTCCAATATTGAAGGCCTGATTACATTTTGTATCTATTGACACTGGATTCTTGCTGTGAAATGTGTGCCATTTAAACACATTTATGTAACTTCCATCACAATTTCATCTACTTATAGAACTCACCAACTCAATGAAGAAAGATTATCTTATTAGAAAAGTCGTAAATTATTAATCATATAGGTGAAGTGGAAATAGTCCTCCAATGAATGAATTTATTGACTGTTCTTCCCAAGTACAGACATTTGATATATTTATCCTTTAATATTGACACCCTGAGAGTGTTTAGCAAAAAGCCTTACACATGTTAAGTGCACAATAAATATTGGCCGAATTGAACTAAATATGTTCCCATTGGGAACTAGTAGACTATTGGACTATTTTTGAGAACTTGCTAAACATTCAGGTCAATAACGTAAGCAGAGAAATGAGGAGGACTTTCTCAGTAAAGTTTCAAGTCCTTGTGCTAAAGGAAAGAAGTGTGGCCTCCCCTTGCACGCCAAAAAACGTGTAACAAGAAATAGAATTTGAGCTGAACTTTGAATTCTTTGAAAGCATTCTGATATGTGTAGAATAAGGAGTGAGGATTCCAAAGAGATTTTTGGGAGAAAAACTATGACAAAAGGCAGTAAATGAGAGCAATCATGGCGGTAGGTAGGATGGAGTTTTAAAATTTATTCTGAGAGTGTGACTTCTGTCCTTCCAAATTAAGCTATTGAGTAGGGCTTGTAATGATAAAAGCAGAGCTTTTGGAGGATCATCTATGGGCAGCATTCACCAAGGAGAGGGAAAATAAGGCTTCCAGGATCTTGATTAGGTGCTAAAGGTTTAAGCTGGAAGCCAGTGTTGGTAAGGGTAGGAAGGGCGATGAGAAAAGGTGTTTTTCTTTTGGATCACCATAGGAGAAAAGTTTTTTTTAAATTAAAATTTTTTGGCAAGATCAGATGTGAGAGGCAAAAGAGAGAAAGATGTCAAAAAACTAGGAGACAATATCCAGCAAGTAGTTCCTGTTTTCCAGGCTTGAGATGCCAAGCAAGATTCTTGAGGTAAGAGGAATGGAGCTTCACTGCCTCTTTCCTACTATTGATTAATATAAATTGCTCCAGAGAGTTCTTCCGTCCTCCTTTTTTAGCTTTCTTCCTTCCTTTCTTCCTTTTTATTTCCTCCTCTGCCTTAACCCTCTTCCAGAATGGAAGGCGAGTTCTACATATAGCTGGGAGGAACAAATTATTCCCAACTGCCTTCTTGGCCTCAGCTCCCTGTTCTGTTGCCAGTTTTCCTTCTAAAACATAAATATGACCATATCTTTCTTCTGCACCAGAACCTCTGAATCACCCATAGCAAAAATTTCAAAATAAACAGTACTGCTTGGGAAGCCATTCCTAGTCTTTAATTTCACCTCCAACACTCCAAATATGCTCACCAAGACAAGTCGTACTGGATATTTTGTTTTTCTCTTATCAGAGCAAGCATTTTCACACCTCACAAATCTGATATGCTGATCTCTCTACCTGGGAATGTATTTGCCTGTATTCATATTTATCCTTCAAAACTCAGCTCTTACATGCAGATTTCCGGAAACTAGTTTATGTAGTATTTACTACTGTTTCTGCTGCTGCTGCTGCTTTTTTCCCCACGATATTTTTGCCCCATTGACTTCCTGCCATGGTGAATTGGGTTCTTGTTTGTTTGACTGTTCCTCGGACTGCTGACCAAGCAGGATTAATCATCTCATGTCTGTGTCATGGTGGCATTTTGTTCATCACTCTATTACAGAGCTCTTCACACCGTAGTGGAGCTATATTGTTGTCTATCTCCCACACCAGACTGGAAGCTTCTTTAGGACTAGGACCGTATCTCAACCATCTCGTCAGCACAATTCTTAGTTAACCAAACATAGTATTTGTCAAACGGAATTTTCTTTTATTCACCTCAAGTCCTGGGCTCTGATTATAATCTCTCCACTGAAAGACTGAGAAGAAGACCGTTTCCAGCAGAGCTTCAAGACCTAATATTTTGCCTCCGGTTGGAACAAAAGCTCATTCATATATTTCCTACAGAGGGACTCACTAAATTGGTGTGTGAGGAACAAGCTCTAATGGAGGCAAGGATGAAAATGTTCTCCTCTTGCTAGATAGGGAAGTGAAATTAGCTAATCAAATTGAGCATTTAGCACCATAGAAACAAACATATTTGGTAGAGAGAGTGACATGGGAGTAAAATGAAGACCCTTGTCCCCATAGATAGTGATTAATCCATATAATCACATTCACCCCTACAAACAATTCTATTAAGAAATTCCAGATGTTGAAGTTAATTGTTTCACAAACTTAAGGAACACAATTCTTCAAACAAATATTTATGAAACAATAGTTTAGAAGCATCTAGTGCTATATTTATCTAGCAGCCTAGGATGCAGCATCTCCAATTTCTCTGCATATAATGATAAAAGTACACACACATGCACACACAAAGATACGAAAACTTTTAACACTAAAATTCAAGTCTGATAATAAAACTTTTATCAAAATCTGGGACAACAATTAAACAAGACCTATTGAACCAAATTGAGACTCAAAATCTACGTCTTATATATTTTGCTGTTTGCAAAAGAGCAAACTCATGGTCTGAAAGAAGGTATAAATTTTTTCTAACATAATTTCCACATTATTTACCCCTTAAATCGGAGATCCAATAGCAGCACAACCCAAGAATTAGGAAGCCTCTCTTTACCACTCAGAGAGAGTGAAACTGCCTCATAAGTGCATTTAATTTATACAAATTAAAATAAACAGGCTCAGTAGAGGAAGGTAGGGGGAGAGAAAATATGAAGTTAAATAGTACTGATAATTCTAATTCCCTCCCCTAAGTGAGTGTACTCTTTATTATACGTGACATATTATATATACACTACTGTGTACTGTTATATATGCATATTATTACACACTGTTGTTTACACAAAACCATATATGCCAAACTAAATAGATAATTTAAGGGATTTTCAAATGTAATTTTCCTATACTTTGAATTGAATTTTTATTTCTACCTAATATGACATGCCACTCCACTCCATTGATTTTTAGGGTTTTATTACCATCAAAATCTGCTGCTGCATTATTTTAGAGGCTGAAATTCCCAAAAGCATAGGGCATGAAGTGTGGGTAAGCAACGGCCATGCTGAAATGTACTCATGGAACGAAATCTCAACAAGTCAAGTGCAGAGCTGAGGGGACAGGGGAGTTGCCCAGCGGCAATGCAGTTGCTAGTGTCAGAGAATTGTGAAAGTGTCAGAGAATCAGTCAGTGGTGAAAGGGAAGACTGCTTCACCTGCCGTGGATCATAGTGGATTTGTAACTCATAAAATATTAAAATTCCACAGAACGAAAAATCAGTCAAGAATGGTAAAAAAAAATTTGGAAAAAGAAAAATGACAGAGAGGTGTTGCCTTAAAAGATATTTGAACACATCAGAAAATGCAATTTTTATAAAATAATAATAATTAAAACAGGGAAGTGCTAAAAAAAGGATTAACAGGTAAATAAATAAAACAGATATTGATGTATTTAAGGAAGTACATTGATTTACTATATATTAATATATTATATTTTGAAAATTATAAAGGAATTTGGAAGAAACATATGAGATTAGGAGTTGAGAAAATAGATTATTTGGAAAAATGCTATCACTTAAGTACCTAATTCCACCATATATTAAAAATAAATCCCCATGGCCTTCTGGTTGAGTGTGGTGCACTCTGCTTCGGTGGCCTGGGTTTGGTTCCCAGGAGTGGACCTATACCACTTGTCAGCAGCCCATAATACAAAGTAGAGGAAGATTGGCACAGATGTTAGCTCAGGGACAATCTTCCTCAAGCAAAAAGAAGAAGATTGGTAACAGGTGTTAGCTCAGGGCAAATCTTCCGCAGCAAAAATAAACAAATAAATAAAAAATAAATTCCAGACTATTTAAGAATTAAAAGTACAATGTCAAATCCTTAAAAGATAGACCAAACAGGTAAATGTCTCAGAAATCACAATGATAAAGAGAAAAACATTAAACTA